GGACGTTGTTCAAAGTCACCACATTGCCGGAAGTCATTTTGAGAAATATATTCCCACATCCTTCAATCTTCGCCTTTGCACCATTTCCCATAGAAAGCGTCTCATCGGGTCCAACAGGAGCATAAGTAGCAAAAGCTTCTCTAACGGCACAAACATGGCGAGTGGCTCCAGAATCAATCCACCACTCTTTAGGATTGCCCACCAAGTTGCATTCGGAAAGCATGGCACATAAGTCATCAACATCATCATGCTTTTCAACCATGTTTACTTGACCTTTCTTCTTGTCTTTCTTCGGAGCACGACACTCCGTAGATTTGTGTCCGTCTTTTTCACAGTTGTAGCAATTTTCACCGAACCGCTTCTTGCTTGGGTTGTATTTCGGTCCAGAAGCCTTTTTCCTCTTTTTGTTCTCTTCAACAATATTTGCTCCCATTATTGTTGAGTTTCCACGGCCTCTCTTTTCAGCAGCTTTGTTGTCCTCTTTGATTCTCAACCAAACAATGAGATCTTCAAGGGACATCTCCTTGCCTTTGTGTTTCAAGTAATTTTTGAAGTCCTTCCACAAAGGAGGCAACTTCTCAATCATCGCTGCTACTTGGAATGCTTCATTGACGACAAGACCTTCAATGAAATTTCTGTTAGTAAAAATACTAAGATTACTACTTTCAACATCAGTATTAATTTGATTTATACCTTCAGCAAGGAGATCGTGAATAATCACTTGCAATTCCTGGACTTGGGTAATAACAGACTTGCTATCTACCATTTACAGCAACGAACTTCTTCAACCCGGCATCTTCGATTTTGTATTTCTTTTCAAGCGCAGTCCACAGTTCTTTTGACGTTTCCACGCCACTGTAGACGTTATACAAAGCATTCTCCAGCCCACTTAGAATATAATTCTTGCACAAAAAATCTGAATGCTTCCACGCCTCAATCACGAGAAAGCGTTCAGTTTCTGGAGTTTCATCGGACAGCACAGGAACATCTTCCTTGATGAACTTCTGGAGACTTAGAGCAGTCAAATAGAAAAACATCTTTTGTTGCCAGCGCTTGAAATCAATCCCGGAAAATTTTCCGAGTTTCTCCGCCGGTGCCAATGCTGCCAGTGTTGTTCGGCTCGTTGAGGCATTGGCAGTCACCGTTGGAACAGCTTGGTTCACATTATCATTAGTCATTTCTGTAAAAGAATGACACAAACGTTAAAATCACGTAGATTTTAATCTCCAATAGAGTACAAAACCACAAAGGTTTTACTCCCCAAAAAACAGTGAGTACAAATACAGAAAATATATAAAATCCTTAAGCTTGTTAGCCAACTGTATTTGTAAACTAATTCTGGAAAAAAATAAAGCAGAATAATATACAAACAGAAAACGTAAAGAGATAGAAATCAATTCGAGCCCACTGAATTCACAGTGTTTCCTTAAGGAATTTAATCCCCTCCTAGTACCCAAGGTTATAGATTATTTCCTCCCAGGATAGAACGAATTACACACTGGTGTAGTGGTACTTCAAACCCCAGTGTTTCAGAGTTCGGTAGCGTCGAAGCCGAGCCGAGCGAGCGACGGTGACGACGGCGCGAGGCTTGCCTTCTTCTCAACTCTTTATGAGCTAGAAGAAGAGCAATTGCTTATATACCCATCAAAAACCTTTTCCTCTTCCAATATGGGACAATGTCCCTTTGCCAAGGGTGAAACTTAAAATTTCACTCAAAAAATTTCATTTCCCTCCATTTCCTATTCACCCTCTTTTAAGTATTTAATATACATAAAAGCCAACAAAGTTTTCATCAACTTATCCGCTGCTTCGTCACTTCCAAAAGATCCTTATAGGCTCACATAACCATCCTCATAATTGCTGGAACCTCCTTCTAATCTTGACCTTTCACCTTTCTCAGATTCTGTCCCAATATTGTATTCATTGTTAGGGGTCTCCCCCTCTCCATCAGAGGAGCTTGAATCACTAATATTAGGCTCTCTATCGGCAACTATTAGAATATCTGATCTAATAACTTGTTGAGCTGAAGTGTTATTTCCTTGTTGTTTTTTGTTGAGTAAGTTGGATTTACAAGTTTTTGCTACCACCTCTTCATAATTTGAAATTACTTCTAGGTTGTTAAAGTCCTCCTGTCGAATAGGGCTGGGCATATATCAGGAAAAACCGATAGCCCGAACTAAAAAAAGCTTATCGGGTTATCGGTATCGGATTACTGGATTAATGGTTCGATAACGATTTGGTATTTTTTTTACTATTGGGTTATCAGTTCGGGCATCGGTTTGCCAAATTTTATTAACGGGTTAACCGATAACCCAATAAAATTATGATTTTACGCTTAAATATATAACCTCCTTAACATTCACTATTCTTCCTCTACTCACTGGCCAAATTAGCTAGATACCGTTTGTGACGTCCAGACTTCAATGATTTGTTCTTTTCTTTTTGCTCAACTACAAGTCAGCTTTATGTAAAACTATTCCTTACTTGATCACTTCCTTTTCATTGTTTGTAATATGAAAAATTGAGGGAACTTGTAAATAGTATCTTGTGGTCAAGTAAGCAACTTGCAATGAGTAAAATAAAAGTATGTTTTTTACAAGAAAAATAGAATGGCGAAATGGCTATGCTTGAAATCTGATAATGCAAACTTCAGTGATTGAAGTTCAGTCCATGTGCATTAACACTATGTTTCTTATTATTTTATCAGGTAAACCGATAAAGGTCGATAACCGATTAACCGATAATCGATATCTTATCGGTTCAATTATCGGTTTATAAATATTTTATAGGTTTGGTTATCGGTTTAGCATATTTATAAACCGATAACCGATATACTAAATCGATAATGTCCACAACCGAATCGAATTGACCGATGCCCACCTCTACTGTCAAATAGTATTAAATTTGCATCCTTGAACCCGTGACTTATAATTTATCAAATGCACAATTATTATTGTGTCGAGACAACAAAAAAAGGAAGACTTAGAGGGCCTTTGGATTGGCTTATTTTAAGTGCTTATTGGCTTTTAGCATTTTTTTAGTTTTTGTAGTATTTGGCAATGATAAAAAATGCTTAAAAGCACTTACTTTTAGGCATGAAAAGTACAAAAATAAGTCATAAGCCAAAAGTTGAATATTACCAACTTATGACTTTTAGCTTTTAGCTTATAAACTACTTTTTAAAGGTCAATCCAAACACCCTCTTGCTCTCATTTAACTTATTCTATTTGATGCTTTAACTTTTTTGCTTGATAAAAACATAATGCCACATAGAAAAATGGTATCATTGTACAAAGACAAAGAAATAGTTACTCGATCAAGATTTTGGGTGTGTTTGGTATGAAGAAAAATATTTTTCATGAAAAATGTATTACTAGAAAATATTTTCATGGAAAATGAGTTATCACTCATTTTCCCTTGTTTTCATGACACTATTGTGACGGGAATTTTCTTCCTATCACAAATATCCAACATTTTTAACATTTTCATGACTCTATTTTCTTCAAGAATTTAATTATTCTTCTAAAAATTCACACAAACCAAAAGGAACTAATGTGTTGCTTTACTTTTTTATGCAAAAATAATTTTAAAATTTTTACTCCATAACTAAAAAAATAGTTTTTTTGTTGTTGAAAAAGAAAGTACTACTTCTGCAACATGAAAATAAAGTACTCATTTTATTGAAATAAAAGAAAAATATTTTTTACTACATCATTTTATTGAACTGAAAGAAAATATATGTTACACCCCGTAAGTTTAACAGCCTATATATATATATATATATATATATATATATATATATATATATATATATATATATATATATATATATATATATATATANATATATTTGATATGGTTTTTTGAGTGGAACACTTTTGTAAAGAAAAAAAAATGGTTTGAAAAATATGATTTTATATAGTAGTTGTTAATATTCCTACTTTCGAATATGTTTTAAATTATACACATAATATGAGAAATGTTTATGAGATTTTCTTTATTGTAAAGATATGAATTATTTTTTTCACAAGAAAAGAATGTTATTTTTTTTTTTTACCACTTTATGAATTAAGTGTACGAACTTTTGTACTCTTTATATGAGATTAGGAAAATTAGAAACTGAGAAAATATATGTATTTTTACATGAATGTTTTAATGATATAATAGTGTATGTATTGATTTTATATGGTACCACATGACCACGATAGTATGATGCATAAAGTGTATTAAAAATAAGTAAAATTTTAAGTAATTTGAGATAATTCTTAATTATGCAGGTAATTGGTTAATTACCGGATAGTGGGATATTACCTAATTAATTAATTGATTATAGGATAAGATTAAAATCTCCACCCCACCCCCACGTGGCAGCAAGCCACTTCTGGGACAAATGACTCTTATAGCCTGTTTGGCCAAGCTTCTTTTTGGCCAAAAGTGCTTTTTTTGGCCAAAAGCACTTTTGGCCAAAAATTGAGGTGTTTGGCCAAGCTTTTGGAAGGAAAAAAAGTGCTTTTGAGGAGAAGCAGAAGCAGTTTTGGAGAAGCAGAAAAAAGTAGCTTCTCTCCAAAAGCACTTTTTTGAGAAGCACTTTTGAGAAAAATACACTTAGAAGCAGTTTTTTAAAGCTTGGCCAAACACTAATTGCTGCTCAGAAGTGCTTTTCAAACTAATTAGCCAAACACAAACTGCTTCCCATCAAAAGTACTTTTGAGAAAAGCACTTCTCAAAATAAGCAGATTTTTGCAGCTTGGCCAAACGGGCTATTAGTCATTTTGGTTAGGTGGCAAAGTCATTACATAACACTTCATTTTTTATGTCTTGAATACAAGACACTACAATCAAATTCCTACACATTCCTACAAAAATCAAGTTCTTATCATTAAACTAGATGGCCGGTGCCCGTGCTATGCACGGGCGTAAGCCCGACATCGGGTCCACAATACCAAGAAGGTTTGACACTGAGAAATAATTTCTGGTTTAACTGTATAGCAAGATTACTAAAAGGAAGAACACTACTAAGCTAATTAGATATTAATATAATAATGCTACTATGTACATACATTTGAGGAACGAAGTTATACAAGATATGAAATATATTTTTGCAACATTACATTCTTGTGCCTACTTCCATGAGAAAGACAAAAGAAAACGCTTTTCTGGTAGAAGTCTCACTCCGTAAATATTTGTTGGTGTAATCCTTCTTTTTTGCAGTAGTATTGCAGCAATACCCAACAAAAGTATCAGAACCTGCTTACATATCCAATTCATAAATTTAGAGTCCCTTAGAAAAGAAGAGGAAGAGAAGTAAAAGAAAATAGACTGAAGAAAGATTCGAAAAACAGTAGAGTGAAAGCTACAATTATCCGACATATATATGTTATATAAAGAAATAGTTGGCTAAATAACTATATTACTTCCAAAGAATGAAAAGAAAAAACTCCAGAAGACATAAAGTTAGGTAAAAGAGAAAGCACATAACTAAAACGGGGTGCCCATATTGATCTTAATACACAAACCTGCCGGTCTTACAATTTTAGCAATATTATCCAAAGATGATTATGTCTCTCCTGCACAAGCATCTACAAAAGCATCATATTTTAATGCAGCCTGCATAATGTTAAAATAATCATCTAGAGGTAAAGCTTTCCAATCAAAATTTTCAAAGGCAGAAATCTTACCATCATTAGAACCATCCTCCCAGCCATCTTCTTCCACCTTATACCAAGTTTTCATCTAAGCCCACTCTATTTAGGTGCGACTTGTCTAGTAATATGTAGTATCCATATTACATGTTACTCTTTCATCATCAACTGCACGTTACTCCTTCATCTTAGCCAACTTCTTCTTTTAGTATCTTCCAAAAATCAATAGCTACGACCAAACATAAGCCAAGAGTGAAGCAGCAGCAGAAACACAGGATCATCTTGCTAGATTTGTCGAAAATGAAGTCTAGTCAAGTACTTCACATTCCCCACAGAAAGAGAAAGCCTGAAATAGGAAATCTAAGACAAAAAAAAATCAACAAAATAACAAAAAGCCCTCCTCAATTGGAAAATGAAAAAAAAAACAGAAATCAAGAACATACTTTTACAGCAATTAGATTCTAATGGTATGTCATCAGTACCATACAAACAGAGAATGATTTTTCAGAAAATAAAAAGGTTTAGCTAAATCCAAAAAAGATGCTGCAAAAGACATGATAATATAAGTGTATATATCTTCATATTAGAGTCACATGGATGGGGTTTACTTGTTACTTAGATCAATCCATAAGGAAGTGAGGATATGAATCATTATCTACAAATGAGAGAATCTTAAACCATCCTTCAGCAAGCTACGAATGGAGAAAAGTGAGCTAATATGCCTCTTAATGGGTGAATATGAATTCTGAGCTTAATAACTTTGCTTTTCAATTTCAGTTTTAGAGTCACTTTAGTCGCCATGATTCTGTAATATTTAATATTAAACAACGGCTTATTTGGATCGTAAATATTCACCATAAAGTTGTCCAGAAGTTTTTCTCCTATCAAGGCGTAGAAGTCATATGTCAGATTCAAAAATTGCAAGTAATTCAATAGGCTTTTCTTGTACCTACAAAAAGTAGCATTGTTCAAATATTCTGCTCTACATCAATGTGATCATTATGTTGTGCAAAGTTTACGTAATTTTGATAAATTTAACAAATTTAAGAGTGACATACACATTAGACGCCTCTAACTTCAACAGTGAACATTCGCCTTTAGTGCTAGTAATTCAGAGAATGATTTTGATAGTAAAGGGAGTACAAGTAAAAATATGTCTAAGAAAATCATAAGAAATATGTTATGTATACATCACATCTAAAAAACGCTTTGCCGAAACACATGCTGAATGAAAACCAGCATTAGACAAATGTTGTATTATCATTGCACTTCCATTCGGTGTTATAGCAGCAATATTTTGTTGCCGCCTACAAATAAAAATAAGAAGCAAGTTTGATTCATGCCCCTTGCCACTATATACAAGAAGTTTTTGATTTTCAAAAAAAAAAAAAAAGGCAGCACAAAAAGACTAAAAGGTATGAAAAGAAATATTTCCATGGCACCATATTGTAACTATTATTTTAAAGTATAAATTTTGTAATTAGTCGCAACTCATTTCTTGAAAATAATTGCAGAATGGAAAAGGGAAAAATATTTCATGTACAATAGATTATTTGTTTAACATGATTTATTTAGTATGGGAAACAACAACCAAGAGACGAAAACACATCTTGAAGGACCTGTCCATCAATTTAGTGAGAGAGTTAGTGAGATAACATAATGTTGTAATTAGCAAACATACCTTCTGTCTCCTAGTGGTGATTAGCTTTGTTGGACTACTGCTGCGGGCAAATTGACATAGAAAGTTGTTGCTATCCATGTCCCCTATAGGCTGAGGAAAGCTTTCTAAAAATTCCCTGCCTGCCATGTTAAGGAGTTGGAGAAGAAACTCAGTAGGAATCTAGCTATAAAACATTCTCCTATTAGTTTCTGGACGATATTTATAAGCATTGAGTTTAAGAATCTATTTATCTACAAATTTTAGAATATCTTTGTTTATTGCATAGTTATCAATAATTATTATTATTTGTAATTGAATGTTCCACATAAGTAATTACAATCAAACATTGAGTCTCTCATGCTAGTACAATGTTACATGATTCACCATTCACCGCCAAGAATTCATGTTCCGCAATTGGGGCTATACTATCCATCTCATTTAATGGACAATTGAGCAAAAGAGTAAGCTATTATTTAGTAAAAACGGGAAATTAAGAATCCTTATACTACCAATTCAAATTTTGATCCTTTCCACCATAAGATGTTGAAGCACAAACTGGTGAATTGGATTTTCAGTAAGACGGTTTGATAATGAACTGATTAGTTGTTAGCAAAAAGATAAAATTCAACAAGAAAAAAAAATACATGTGTAAAGCATGCACAATTACTGGCATACATATAAAAGTTCTAGCACGAGATTATTCAAAACAATGTACTTATCAGATTGTGATTACCAACAGAACAAGTGCGATAAAAAAATTTCACAAATAACTCGCTAAACCAGAAAGCATACATCAGATTCAAATAGAAGGAAGATGGATAAACTTTGAAGGAGTGAAGATCCAAATTTTGAT